ATATATCACTTGTGTAAGATATTATTACACATTGTACCTGCCAAAATAGTAGCGTAGTTCATCGTCAAGTTTTTTAGACCTCGACTCTTCTTTAGACAACCTAATAGGTTTTTAAAGAAATTCAACGTATCACGTGAACGACTTCAGTTGTAACTAATCGAAGTACAATAAAACTTAATAAGTCAATTTTTAAGAAGTGGACGAAAAAGTTTAATGATCCTGGGTTAGACCTTATTTCTTGGTTATGGAAATTACCTCCTTATAGCGATATAGAGTACAAAGTTATTAACGTTACAATACGCGAATAATAATACACGACGGGACAAATTAATCCGATAGTGAGCTTCTACTTGAAATTGAAAGTTGAACTTTGAAGCAAGTAATATAATAAAAAACCAAAAACACTACAATGTATCTTATTACAAAGTTGTAGAAATACTTTTATTTCTTTTTGGATTTTCACCATATGGCGAACGGGACGAGTGGCGAGCTCGATGTCATCAAGCGTTGGATATTATAAATCAACGACAATACCTGGACATAAAGTGTTTTCGTTCCTGATCGAGTCTCGTAGAATTCGTCTGTTCTTCTGATAACCTAAAATGTTTTGAAACAAATCATACATTTGTTTTTGAACAAACTGCCTGATTACGCATCTCAGAACGAAATAGACGACTTAAAACTTGGTTCAATCCGAGCAGACTACAGCTCATCTCTCTTCCTGGCAAGACTGTTCTCCCGATAACATTCTCCTAATCAACAGTCAGTCAGTGGCGTATCTAGGGCAATTACACGAAAACTCCTGTCCCCGCCCCCAGAAATGTTTCAATCAGATACTTTTCCGCCCGAACTCTTGCCTTTTTTCACTCCGACATGAGGCCACATCTTGCGGTTACATGTAAGAGTCTTTATGTGTTGTAGTTGGTGTCTTTATCCGACTCTGCGGTGGGAAATTGGATATCAAAAATACTTTGCATGTAGCTTTCTACATACGTTCCTAGAGAAATTGAGAATTTTTTCGGTATAAAAAGTGCCGCGAATTTTCACTATTGTAACTGAACGTCCGTACACAGGATAAACGTTTTCCAACGTCTCATCCTCATTTCAATATGGAAATGGACCTACATCAGTGTATACCACTCAATGGGTCTACGCCAGTAGTTGACAAGCCATTACATAATCCTTGGGCGTATAGAACACTGGTTATTTACAAAAGAATCAACGTTGAACAGACCTTTTTGAATAATCACCTAGCTGCTTCTGCTTAGAATTTAAGTTTTCTGTGTAGGTTCTTTCCATCCTCTGCTTCTCGGATCTCATGGCATTCAAGCTTAAAGTGAAAAAAGGGGGGTCATCGAAAGATAATTTTACACCCTTATACTATAGGCGTCTAAGAAATCATTCGGTGACCAGAGAATAACACCGCTCATCAAGAAGTGCAGAACAATACTTGGTTTTCTTCACTTCCTTCGTTTTCCTGAAAATTAACCGTTCGTTGTCATGAGTGATCTTAATTCAAGTTCCTTAAAAGTGGATTTAGAGGAACTCGCCAGGAAAGTTGTTTGTTTGTTTGTTTGTTTGTTGTAAATGACTTATATTTCTTATATTTCTTACAGTGAATATGGCAATGCATGTGTGTAACATGTCTTAGGAGATCAACTGCCATTAATCTTATTTTGTGAAAGTTTCAACGTTTCCAGCAAATGCAAACCGCAATTTTCTTTACGAGGTCAACCTGAGGTGCTTTCAAAGCCCTTACCTTTTGGGTAACAAAGTATTTCATCAGTCTTATTTTCTATTGTATCCAAAGCCATGTACTTCATTTATTGCATCTCGACAGAAATATTTGTAATGATGTAGACTGTCAGGTCTTTGCCATGAACCTACAATGGTGGACAAAATTCCTTGGGACATTTGCGTCATTGCATGAATTATCTGCGTTTTTTAAACGGAGTTTGAAAAAGCACTGTTATCCTTTTCAAAATTCGTTTCAGCCCCTCCCCCCCCCCCCC